GGGAATCCGCCGGGAACGGCGCGGGGAGGCGAGGGGCGGCGGCGGCGGGCGAGGGGCTTCGGGTCAGGCAACGCGGGGGGCGCCCCCGGGGAGGGGCGGGGAGAGGGGGGCGGGGCGTGCGAGGACCCCTTTCCCCTCGCGGCGGCCGCTCCCTCAATCGACCTCGGCGAAGATGGCGGCGGCGGTGAGAGCCATCGGCAGCCTCGGCCGCCTCCCGGCGCACGCCAGGGCAGGGCCGGCCCGCCGGACGCCGCCCCGCGGTGAGCGGAGGGAGAGAGGGAGGCCCGCCGGGGGAGAGGGGAGCAAGTGAGGGATGCGGGTGGGGCGCTGGGGCGGGAGGGATGGGGGACGGCGGGGGGGGGGGGAGGGGGGGGTCAGGGGAAAGGGGAAGGAGGTCGGTCCTGGGTGGACGAAGGGGTTCGGGGGAAGGGGGACGGACGGAGGTCGGTCCCGCATGGACCGGGAGGGTCGAGGGAAGGTGAGGAGGGTCAGGGGTTCATCCTGGATGTAGGAGAGGATCAGGTGGGTGGTCGGTCTCAGGTGGCCGGGGAAGGGAGAGAAAAGTCGGGGGATCCGTCCCGGGTGGACGGGAGGGTCGGGAGATGCGGGACAGGAGTGAAGGGGGGAGGCGGGGGGGCAGTCCCGGGTGGACGAGAGGGTCGGGGAAAAGGTGAGGAGCGTCGGGGAGTCGGTCCTAGATGTCCGGGGAAGGGAGAGAAAAGTCGGGGGATCGGTCCTGGATGGATGGAAGGGTCGGGGGATGCGGGACAAGGGTGGAGTCGGGGGGGCGGTCCCGGGGGGGTGCAGTGGCAGGATAAGGGTGAAGGGGGTCGGTCTGGGATGGGCTGGGGAGTCGGGGGGTCTGTTCCAGATGGACGAAGGGGTCGAGGTGTCGATCGGTCCTGGATGGACAGGGGGGTCGGGACTTCGGTCCCGGGTGGACGAAGGAGTCGAGGGCTCGGTCCTGGATGGACGGGATGGTCTGGGGTCGGTCCAGAGTGGACGAAGGGATCGAGGGGTCGGTCCTGGATGGACAGGGGAGTCGGGGCTCCGGTTCAGAGTGGATGAAGGGATCGAGGGGTCGGTCCTGGATGGACAGGATGGTCTGGGGTCGGTCCTGGGTGGACAAAGGGATCGAGGGGTCGGTCCTGAATGGACAGAGGAAGGGTGAGAGGGTTTGGGGAGGTCAACCCCGGATGGACGGGGTGGGGGTGAGAAACAGGTGTGTATTTTGGGGGGGCTGTAGCAGGGGTTTGTTTTGGGGGCTGTAGGGGTGTGCTGTGAGTCCCGGGGTGGTGGGGGTGTGGTGGTGGGGTGTGAAGGTGCTGCGGCGTGTGCAGGGTCAGGCTTGTGTGGAGAGAGGGAAGGGAGGACGGGCTGTTCACAGAATTGTGGGATATCCCGAGCTGGAAGGGATCCACAGGATCATGGAAGGAGGTTTGCCTGGAGGGATTTGTGTGCAGGGCTGAGCCGGGGGTGCCAGGGGAGCACTGGCTGCCAAAAGTGGGAGGGTGGGCACGTTTTGGGGGGCAGAGACAGTGGGTACGTTGGGAAGAGGTGACTCTGCAGCATGGGCAGGTTTGGGTACTGGGGAGGAACTTGTGTCAGCTGGGCAGGGCGGATTTAGGGAAAAACCTCAATGAGGTGAGGGGAGGGAGCTCTGCACAGATGGAGGAAGAGCAGGTTGCCACAAAAAGGCGGATTTTCAGGACTTTTATTGACAGGAGGAGCCTGGGTTTGGTTTGTGGGCTGGGAAGTGAGGAATGCTGCGTGGCACATTCCAGGTGTGGAGCTGTGAAAGGGGGTGACTGGCAGCTCCTGCTGAGTTTTGAGGAGCTGTGGAGACCTGCAGTGGGCTGAGTTTGGGAACACAGGCATTCCTGTGCCCCCTCCGTGGAAAACCTGTGTGTTTGTGGGAGGGACTGCTGGGGTTTGAACCCCAAAAACGGGACTGAGGGAGGTGAACGTTGCCATGAAGAAGGCAAAGAACTGGAGCTGCCACGACCATTTTGTGCCCTGGGCAATAAAATAGACACAGAGGAGGGTTTGTTTATGGGGAAACCTGGTTTTGGAATGAGCTTTGGGAAGGCCGTAGTGGAATTTTGGGGGTGGAGGGTGTTGGCTTGTTCTGTTCTCCATGGGGATGCCCAGCAGATACCCCGAGGTTGGCATCGAGGGCAGTGCCACGAGGGGCAGGGGTGTGACGTGGTGCCCAGGGCAGTGCCACGAGGGGCAGGGGTGTGACGTGGTGCCAAGGGCAGTGCCACGAGGGGCAGGGGTGTGACGTGGTGCCAAGGGCAGTGCGTCAGGAGGGCCGTGCTGGCGGCGGGGCCGGCCGGGCACCGAGACAATTTTCCAAGGGGGAGGTGGCAGAGCAGTCACTGGGAGGGGAACTGAGAAGCTCACTGGGCAGTATTTATTCACTGGGCAGTATTTATTCACTGGGCAGTATTTATTCACAGGCACATTGGCAGCCCCAGTCACAAGCCAGGCTCCTCCTGCTCGGATTCCGCTCACGGAGCGCGGTGGGAAGCGATTCCTGTGCTGCTGCTGCTGCTGCTGCCCTTGGAGTGTCTTCTCCCCACTTTTCTGGCTCTGTGTGAGGCAGGCAGGTCGCTTCCCTTGCAGCTGTTCCAGGCAGGCCGGGTTGGACTGAGAGCAGCCTCTCTGCAGAGCCCAGGATGAGTTCCATGCTGACCTCGGCCATCCGGAGCCTCCCCGTGTCCTCAGCCTGGGCTGCTGGGGCCTGTGAGTATCCTGGGGCTGGGGGGTCCCAAACTTCCAGGTTTAGTGTTGGCTTTGGAAGGGAGGCTTGCACCTGAACCTCTGTTCTGTTCTCACCTCAAAAAAGCCGACAGTGGGGTTTTTTTTCCTAAATACCCAATTCCATCGTTGCTGTGTCTGTCCCTTCCCACACCGGATGGGGGAGGAATCTCCTGTTAACAGATCCAATGGACCCTGTCCAGTTTCTGGCCAGTGTAAACCAGCCAGTACCCCACAGGTATTGGTTGTAATTCCCTTCCTGTGGAAACCAGGAATGTTTCTGATACTTTTTTTTTTGCCGTTTTCTCCTTCCTTGTTTTCCAGTTGCTCGGTCGCTCAGCTGCTCCTCACAGCTCCAAGCCACAGGTAAAGGGGAAAACACCAGGAATCCCAGAGGGTCTGTGCTGGACAAGGCTGTTTTGGAAGCTGCCTCCCTTTTCCAGAGTCTTGTTTCACTTAAACCTTGGAAATGGTGCAGAGTGCCTTAGTACAGCTGCTCCTAAAAAGCTACGAACAAGGAAAACTTGAGGGACATCCCTGTTTACAGCCCTCTCATCCTCTGAGTGCTCCTGGCTCCCAGCAGCCATTCCCAGTCTGCACTGAATGGTGCTGGATCATGGCATACCTTGTCTTGAACCTCTCCCGTTAGGGAGAGATTTTCTTCCCATTAGGAAGAAATTCCTCCCTGTGAGGGTGGGGAGGCCCTGGCCCAGGCTGCCCAGAGAAGCTGTGGCTGCCCCTGAATCCCTGGAAGTGTCCCAGGCCAGGTTGGACGGGGCTTGGAGCAACCTGGGCTAGTGGAAGGTGTCCCTGCCCATGGCAGGGGTGGGACTGGATGGGCTTTAAGGTCCCTCCCCACACAAACCCTTCCATGATTTTAAGATCCCAGCTCAGGTGTCCTTCCTTCCCTGCCTTTCCTTATGCACCAGAAGGGGACAAGTTCCCAAGTTTTCTAGTAGTTTTTACAGGGTCTTCATTAAACTTGCTGATCTACTTGTCAACATCCCTCCTCTCCTTGCAGCCCAGCCCAAGACCAAGAAGTCCTTGGGCAAGAGTGGAGTGAAGAATGTTGTGGTGGTGGAGGGCGTCCGCATCCCGTTCCTGCAGTCCGGCACCTCGTGAGTAGCAAAGGGGAGGAAAGGACATAAAACACCCCCTTTCTGTGGAAAATTGGGCTGCCTGTTCTTTTTAATGTGGTTATTCTTAGGCCTAAAGGCTCTGAAGTGGCTGAGGCTGCTGCAGTTACTGCAGCTCATCTAATGCAAAAACAGGGCTTGGAGAGGGTTGTCCTTGTTTATGAATTCTGGGAAGAATGAGGATTTATGCAGCGTGTCCAGAGGAACCTGGTGGTGAATCTGTGGCAGATAAAGCAACAAGTTTCACCAAACTAGCAGGGCAGGTGCCAGGAATCTGCTGTAGACTCTCCCTCCTGGATTGTTACACCACCAAATTCGCAGCTGAACTAAGACTGGGCCTGACCCTTGGTCAGGATGGAGAAGGGATTTTTCCAGTCACTGCTCCTTTTTTTAGTGGGTTTAGTGCAGGGATTGTGTGCTGAGCTGGACACAGAGAGTCTGCACAGCCTGGGGGGTGAGTCAGGACAATCCCAGCACAAACACAGCCTGGGCACAGAATGGATTGGGAGCAGTGCTGGGGAGAAGGACTTGGGGGTGTTGGTGGACGAGAGGTTGGACAGGACCCGTCCGTGTGCTCTGGCCCCAGAACCCCCCCGTGCCCTGGGCTGATCCCACAGCGTGGAGGGGGGTATCCTGCCCCTGTGCCCCCACTGCGGAGCTGCCTCCAACCCTGGGCAACAGCAGCACAAGGACGTGGAGCTGCTGCAGAGAGTCC